CTAATAGAATCAAACGCAGAAAACATAGTGGCTTCGGCGACACACTTTGCCAACAATACAGTTGGACCCACATGGTCAATGAAAAAGGTTGAACAGAGCATAGACCAATGAAATCTGGTGTTTGGAGGTGGAGTTGAACCAGCGACCTTTGGAACACAGCGTTTCAGGAACTTCTTACAGTCCTCTTCTCTACCAACTGAGCTATGAAGGTGCTTATAGACTCAAACGCAGAAAAATTAGTGGCTTCGGCGACACACTCTGACAACACAACAATCAAGCCACCTGGTCAATGAAAAAGGTTGAACAGTGCATACAGCAATGAAATCTGGTGTTTGGAGCTGGAGTTGAACCAGCGACCTTTGGACCACAGCGTTTCAGGAACTTCTTACAGTCCTCTGCTCTACCAACTGAGCTATGAAGGTGCTTATAGAATCAAACGCAGAAAACATAGTGGCTTCGGCGACACACTTTGCCAACAATACAATTGGACCCACATGGTCAATGAAAAAGGTTGAACAGAGCATACAGCAATGAAATCTGGTGTTTGGAGGTGGAGTTGAACCAGCGACCTTTGGACCATAGCGTTTCAGGAACTTCTTACAGTCCTCTGGTCTACCAACTGAGCTATGAAGGTGCTTATAGACACGAACGCAAAAAACATAGTGGCTTCGGCGACACACTTTGCCAACAATACAATTGGACCCACATGGTCAATGAAAAAGGTTGAACAGTGCATAGACCAATGAAATCTGGTGTTTGGTGGTGGAGTTGAACCAGCGACCTTTGGACCACAGCGTTTCAGGAACTTCTTAAAGTCATAGGCTCTAACAACTGAGCTATGAAGTTGCTTATAGACTCAAACGCAGAAAACATAGTGGCTTCGGCGACAAACTGTGCCAACAATATAATTGGACCCACATGGTCAATGAAAAAGGTTGAACAGTGCATACAGGAATGAAATCTGGTGTTTGGAGCAGGAGTTGAAACAGCGACCTTTGGACCGCAGCATTTCAGGAACTTCTTACAGTCCTCTGCTCTACCAACTGAGCTATGAAGGTGCTTATAGATACAAACGCAGAAAACATAGTGGCTTCGGCGACATACTTTGCCAACAATACAATTGGACCAACATGGTCAATGAAAAAGGTTGAACAGTTCAATGAAATCTGGTGTTTAGAGCTGGAGTTGAAGCAGCAACCTTTGGACCACAGCGTTTCAGAAACTTCTTACAGTCCTCTGCTCTACCAACTGAGCTATGAAAGTGCTAATAGAATCAAACGCAGAAAACATAGTGGCTTCGGCGACACACTCTGCCAACATAACTATTGAACCAACATGGTCAATGAAAAAGGTTGAACAGTGCATACACCAATGAAATCTGGTGTTTGGAGGTGGAGTTGAACCAGCGACCTTTGGACCATAGCGTTTCAGGAACTTCTTACAGTCCTCTGGTCTACCAACTGAGCTATGAAGGTGCTTATAGACACGAACGCAAAAAACATAGTGGCTTCGGCGACACACTTTGCCAACAATACAATTGGACCCACATGGTCAATGAAAAAGGTTGAACAGTGCATACAGCAATGAAATCTGGTGTTTGGAGCAGGAGTTGAAACAGCGACCTTTGGACCACAGCATTTCAGGAACTTCTTACAGTCCTCTGCTCTACCAACTGAGCTATGAAAGTGCTTATAGACACAAACGCAGAAAACATAGTGGCTTCGGCGACACACTCTGCCAACATAACTATTGAACCAACATGGTCAATGAAAAAGGTTGAACAGAGCATAGACCAATGAAATCTGGTGTTTGGAGGTGGAGTTGAACCAGCGACCTTTGGAACACAGCGTTTCAGGAACTTCTTACAGTCATGGGCTCTAAGAACTGAGCTATGAAGTTGCTTATAGACTCAAACGCAGAAAACATAGTGGCTTCGGCGACACACTCTGACAACACAACAATCAAGCCACCTGGTCAATGAAAAAGGTTGAACAGTGCATACAGCAATGAAATCTGGTGTTTGGAGGTGGAGTTGAACTAGCGACCTTTGGACCACAGCATTTCAGGAACTTCTTAAAGTCATGGGCTCTAACAACTGAGCTATGAAGTTGCTTATAGACTCAAACGCAGAAAACATAGTGGCTTCGGCGACACACTTTGCCAACATAACTATTGAACCAACATGGTCAATGAAAAAGGTTGAACAGTGCATACACGAATTAAATGTGGTGTTTGGAGCTGGAGTTGAACCAGCGACCTTTGGACCACAGCGTTTCAGGAACTTCTTACAGTCCTCTGCTCTACCAACTGAGCTATAAGGTGCTTATAGAATCAAACGCAGAAAACATAGTGGCTTCGGCGACACACTTTGCCAACAATACAGTTGGACCCACATGGTCAATGAAAAAGGTTGAACAGAGAATAGACCAATGAAATCTGGTGTTTGAAGGTGGAGTTGAACCAGCGACCTTTGGAACACAGCGTTTCAGGAACTTCTTAAAGTCATGGGTTCTACCAAGTGAGCTATGAAGGTGCTTATAGACACAAACGCAGAAAACATAGTGGCTTCGGCGACACACTCTGCCAACATAACAATCAAGCCACCTGGTCAATGAAAAAGGTTGAACAGTGGATAGACCAATGAAATCTGGTGTTTGGAGGTGGAGTTGAACCAGCGACCTTTGGACTACAGCGTTTCAGGAACTTCTTACAGTCCTCTGCTCTACCAACTGAGCTATGAAGGTGCTTAAAGATACAAACGCAGAAAACATAGTGGCTTCGGCGACACACTTTGCCAACAATACAATTGGACCCACATGGTCAATGAAAAAGGTTGAACAGTGCATACAGCAATGAAATCTGGTGTTTGGTGGTGGAGTTGAACCAGCGACCTTTGGACCACAGCGTTTCAGGAACTTCTTAAAGTCATGGGCTCTAACAACTGAGCTATGAAGTTGCTTATAGACTCAAACGCAGAAAACATAGTGGCTTCGGCGACAACCTGTGCCAACAATATAATTGGACCCACATGGTCAATGAAAAAGGTTGAACAGTGCATACAGCAATGAAATCTGGTGTTTGGAGCAGGAGTTGAAACAGCGACCTTTGGACCGCAGCATTTCAGGAACTTCTTACAGTCCTCTGCTCTACCAACTGAGCTATGAAGGTGCTTATAGATACAAACGCAGAAAACATAGTGGCTTCGGCGACATACTTTGCCAACAATACAATTGTACCAACATGGTCAATGAAAAAGGTTGAACAGTTCAATGAAATCTGGTGTTTAGAGCTGGAGTTGAAGCAGCAACCTTTGGACCACAGTGTTTCAGAAACTTCTTACAGTCCTCTGCTCTACCAACTGAGCTATGAAAGTGCTTATAGACACAAACGCAGAAAACATAGTGGCTTCGGCGACACACTCTGCCAACATAACTATTGGACCAACATGGTCAATGAAAAAGGTTGAACAGTGCATACACCAATGAAATCTGGTGTTTGGAGGTGGAGTTGAACCAGCGACCTTTGGACCACAGCGTTTCAGGAACTTCTTAAAGTCATGGGTTCTACCAACTGAGCTATGAAGGTGCTTATAGACTCAAACGCAGAAAACATAGTGGCTTCGGCAACACACTTTGCCAACAATACAGTTGGACCCACATGGTCAATGAAAAAGGTTGAACAGTGCATACAGCAATGAAATCTGGTGTTTGGAGCTGGAGTTGAACCAGCGACCTTTGGACCACAGCGTTTCAGGAACTTCTTACAGTCCTCTGCTCTACCAACTGAGCTATGAAGGTGCTTATAGACTCAACCGCAGAAAACATAGTGGCTTCGGCGACACACTCTGACAACACAACAATCAAGCCACCTGGTCAATGAAAAAGGTTGAACAGTGCATACAGCAATGAAATCTGGTGTTTGGAGGTGCAGTTGGACCAGTGACCTTTGGACCACAGCGTTTCAGGAACTTCTTACAGTCCTCTGCTCTACCAACTGAGCTATGAAGGTGCTTATAGACACAAACGCAGAAAACATAGTGGCTTCGGCGACACACTTTGCCAACAATACAATTGGACCCACATGGTCAATGAAAAAGGTTGAACAGTGCATACAGCAATGAAATCTGGTGTTTGGAGGTGGAGTTGAACCAGCGACCTTTGGACCACAGCGTTTCAGGAACTTCTTACAGTCCTCTTCTCTACCAACTGAGCTATGAAGGTGCTTATAGACTCAACCGCAGAAAAATTATTGGCTTCGGCGACACACTTTACCAACATAACTATTGAACCAACATGGTCAATGAAAAAGGTTTAACAGTGCATGCAGCAATGAAATCTAGTGTTTGGAGGTGGAGTTGAACCAGCGACCTTTGGACCACAGCGTTTCAGGAACTTCTTACAGTCCTCTTCTCTACCAACTGAGCTATGAAGGTGCTTATAGACTCAACCGCAGAAAAATTAGTGGCATCGGCGACACACTTTGCCAACATAACTATTGAACCAACATGGTCAATGAAAAAGGTTTAACAGTGCATACAGCAATGAAATCTAGTGTTTGGAGGTGGAGTTGAACCAGCGACCTTTGGACCACAGCGTTTCAGGAACTTCTTAAAGTCATGGGCTGTACCAACTGAGCTATGAAGGTGCTTATAGACACAACCGCAGAAAACATAGAGGCTTCGGCGACACACTTTGCCAACAATACTATTGAACCAAAATGGTCAATGAAAAAGGTTGAACAGTGCATACACGAATGAAATCTGGTGTTTGGAGCTGGAGTTGAACCAGCGACCTTTGGACCACAGCATTTCAGGAACTTCTTACAGTCCTCTGCTCTACCAACTGAGCTATGAAGGTGCTTATAGACTCAACCGCAGAAAAATTAGTGGCTTCGGCGACACACTTTGCCAACATAACTATTGAACCAACATGGTCAATGAAAAAGGTTTAACAGTGCATACAGCAATGAAATCTGGTGTTTGGAGGTGGAGTTGAACCAGCGACCTTTGGAACACAGCGTTTCAGGAACTTCTTAAAGTCATGGGTTCTACCAACTGAGCTATGAAGGTGCTTATAGACACAACCGCAGAAAACATAGTGGCTTCGGCGACACACTTTGCCAACAATACAGTTGGACCCACATGGTCAATGAAAAAGGTTGAACAGTGCATACAGCAATGAAATCTGGTGTTTGGAGCTGGAGTTGAACCAGCGACCTTTGGACCACAGCGTTTCAGGAACTTCTTACAGTCCTCTGCTCTACCAACTGAGCTATGAAGGTGCTTATAGAATCAAACGCAGAAAACATAGTGGCTTCGGCGACACACTTTGCCAACAATACAGTTGGACCCACATGGTCAATGAAAAAGGTTGAACAGAGCATAGACCAATGAAATCTGGTGTTTGGAGGTGGAGTTGAACCAGCGGCCTTTGGAACACAGCGTTTCAGGAACTTCTTACAGTCCTCTTCTCTACCAACTGAGCTATGAAGGTGCTTATAGACTCAACCGCAGAAAAATTAGTGGCTTCGGCGACACACTCTGACAACACAACAATCAAGCCACCTGGTCAATGAAAAAGGTTGAACAGTGCATACAGCAATGAAATCTGGTGTTTGGAGGTGGAGTTGAACCAGCGACCTTTGGACCACAGCGTTTCAGGAACTTCTTACAGTCATCTGCTCTACCAACTGAGCTGTGAAGGTGCTTATAGACTCAAACGCAGAAAACATAGTGGCTTCGGCGACACACTTTGCCAACAATATAATTGGACCCACATGGTCAATGAAAAAGGTTGAACAGAGCATACAGCAATGAAATCTGGTGTTTGGAGGTGGAGTTGAACCAGCGACCTTTGGAACACAGCGTTTCAGGAACTTCTTAAAGTCATGGGCTCTAACAACTGAGCTATGAAGTTGCTTATAGACTCAAACGCAGAAAACATAGTGGCTTCGGCGACAAACGGTGCCAACAATATAATTGGACCCACATGGTCAATGAAAAAGGTTGAACAGTGCATACAGCAATGAAATCTGGTGTTTGGAGCTGGAGTTGAACGAGCGACCTTTGGACCGCAGCATTTCAGGAAGTTCTTACAGTCCTCTGCTCTACCAACTGAGCTATGAAGGTGCTTATAGATACAAACGCAGAAAACATAGTGGCTTCGGCGACATACTTTGCCAACAATACAATTGGACCAACATGGTCAATGAAAAAGGTTGAACAGTGCATACAGCAATGAAATCTGGTGTTTGGAGGTGGAGTTGAACCAGCGACCTTTGGAACACAGCGTTTCAGGAACTTCTTAAAGTCATGGGCTCTAACAACTGAGCTATGAAGTTTCTTATAGACTCAAACGCAGAAAACATAGTGGCTTCGGCGACACACTCTGCCAACACAACAGTCAAGGCACCTGGTCAATGAAAAAGGTTGAACAGTGCATAGACCAACAAAATGTGGTGTTTGGAGGTGGAGTTGAACCGGCGACCTTTGGACCACAGCATTTCAGGAACTTCTTAAAGTCATGGGCTCTAACAACTGAGCTATGAAGTTGCTTATAGACTCAAACGCAGAAAACATAGTGGCTTCGGCGACACACTTTGCCAACATAACTATTGAACCAACATGGTCAATGAAAAAGGTTGAACAGTGCATACAGCAATGAAATCTGGTGTTTGGAGCTGGAGTTGAACCAGCGACCTTTGGACCACAGCGTTTCAGGAACTTCTTACAGTCCTCTGCTCTACCAACTGAGCTATGAAGGTGCTAAAAGAATCAAACGCAGAAAACATAGTGGCTTCGGCGACACACTTTGCCAACAATACAGTTGGACCCACATGGTCAATGAAAAAGGTTGCACAGTGCATAGACTAATGACATCTGGTGTTTGGAGGTGGAGTTGAACCAGCGACCTTTGGAACACAGCGTTTCAGGAACTTCTTACAGTCCTCTTCTCTACCAACTGAGCTATGAAGGTGCTTATAGACTCAACCGCAGAAAAATTAGTGGCTTCGGCGACACACTCTGACAACACAACAATCAAGCCACCTGGTCAATGAAAAAGGTTGAACAGTGCATACAGCAATGAAATCTGGTATTTAGAGGTGGAGTTGAACCAGCGACCTTTGGACCAGAGCGTTTCAGGAACGTCTTACAGTCTTCTGCTCTACCAACTGAGCTATGAAGGTGCTTATAGACACAACCGCAGAAAACATAGTGGCTTCGGCGACACACTTTGCCAACAATACAATTGGACCCACATGGTCAATGAAAAAGGTTGAACAGTGCATACAGCAATGAAATCTGGTGTTTGGAGGTGGAGTTGAACCAGCGACCTTTGGACCACAGCGTTTCAGGAACTTCTTAAAGTCATGGGTTCTACCAACTGAGCTATGAAGGTGCTTATAGACACAAACGCAGAAAACATAGTGGCTTCGGCAACACACTTTGCCAACATAACTATTGAACCAACATGGTCAATGAAAAAGGTTGAACAGTGCATACACCAATGAAATCTGGTGTTTGGAGCTGGAGTTGAACCAGCGACCTTTGGACCACAGCGTTTCAGGAACTTCTTACAGTCCTCTTCTCTACCAACTGAGCTATGAAGGTGCTTATAGACTCAACCGCAGAAAACATAGTGGCTTCGGCGACACACTCTGACAACACAACAATCAAGCCACCTGGTCAATGAAAAAGGTTGAATAGTGCATACAGCAATGAAATCTGGTGTTTGGAGGTGGAGTTGAACCAGCGACCTTTGGACCACAGCGTTTCAGTAACTTCTTAAAGTCATGGGTACTAGCAACTGAGCTATGAAGGTGCTTAAAGACCCAACCGCAGAAAACATAGTGGCTTCGGCGACACACTTTGCCAACATAACTATTGAACCAACATGGTCAATGAAAAAGGTTGAACAGAGCATAGAGCAATGAAATCTGGTGTTTGGAGGTGGAGTTGAACCAGCGACCTTTGGAACACAGCGTTTCAGGAACTTCTTAAAGTCATGGGTTCTACCAACTGAGCTATGAAGGTGCTTATAGATACAAACACAGAAAACATAGTGGCTTCGGCGACATACTTTGCCAACAAAACAATTGGACCAACATGGTCAATGAAAAAGGTTTAACAGTGCATAGACCAATGAAATCTGGTGTTTGGAGCATCAGTTGAACCAGCGACCTTTGGACCACAGCGTTTAAGGAACTTCTTAATGTCCTCTGCTCTACCAACTGAGCTATGAAAGTGCTTTTAGACACAAACGCAGAAAACATAGTGGCTTCGGCGACACACTTTGTCAACATAACTATTGAACCAACATGGTCAATGAAAAAGGTTGCACAGTGCATACACCAATGAAATCTGGTGTTTGGAGGTGGAGTTGAACCAGCGACCTTTGGACCACAGCGTTTCAGGAACTTCTTACAGTCCTCTGCTCTACCAACTGAGCTATGAAGGTGCTTATATACACAAACGCAGAAAACATAGTGGCTTCGGCGACACACTCTGACAACACAACAATCAAGCCACCTGGTCAATGAAAAAGGTTGAACAGTGCATACAGCAATGAAATCTGGTGTTTGGAGCTGGAGTTGAACCAGCGACCTTTGGACCACAGCGTTTCAGGAAGTTCTTACAGTCCTCTGCTCTACCAACTGAGCTATGAAGGTGCTTATAGAATCAAACGCAGAAAACATAGTGGCTTCGGCGACACACTTTGCCAACAATACAGTTGGACCCACATGGTCAATGAAAAAGGTTGAACAGAGCATAGACGAATGAAATCTGGTGTTTGGAGGTGGAGTTGAACCAGCGACCTTTGGAACACAGCGTTTCAGGAACTTCTTACAGTCCTCTTCTCTACCAACTGAGCTATGAAGGTGCTTATAGACTCAACCGCAGAAAAATTAGTGGCTTCGGCGACACACTCTGACAACACAACAATCAAGCCACATGGTCAATGAAAAAGGTTGAACAGTGCATACAGCAATGAAATCTGGTGTTTGGAGGTGGAGTTGAACCAGCGACCTTTGGACCACAGCGTTTCAGGAACTTCTTACAGTCCTCTGCTCTACCAACTGAGCTATGAAGGTGCTTATAGAATCAAACGCAGAAAACATAGTGGCTTCGGCGACAAACTTTGCCAACAATACAATTGGACCCACATGGTCAATGAAAAAGGTTGAACATTGCATACAGCAATGAAATCTGGTGTTTGGAGCTGGAGTTGAACCAGCGACCTTTGGACCACAGCGTTTCAGGAACTTCTTACAGTCCTCTTCTCTACCAACTGAGCTATGAAGGTGCTTATGGACACAAACGCAGAAAACATAGTGGCTACGGCGACACACTTTGCCAACATAACTATTGAACCAACATGGTCAATGAAAAAGGTTGAACATTGCATACAGCAATGAAATCTGGTGTTTGGAGCAGGAGTTGAACCAGCGACCTTTGGACCACAGCGTTTCAGGAACTTCTTACAGTCCTCTTCTCTACCAACTGAGCTATGAAGGTGCTTATGGACAGAACCGCAGAAAACATAGTGGCTTCGGCGACACACTTTGCCAACACAACAATCAAGCCACCTGGTCAATGAAAAAGGTTGAAGAGTGCATACAGCAATGAAATCTGGTGTTTGGAGGTGGAGTTGAACCAGCGACCTTTGGACCACAGCGTTTCAGTAACTTCTTAAAGTCATGGGCACTACCAACTGAGCTATGAAGGTGCTTATAGGCCCACCAGCAGAAAACATAGTGGCTTCGGCGACACACTTTGCCAACATAACTATTGAACCAACATGGTCAATGAAAAAGGTTGAACAGTGCATACAGCAATGAAATCTGGTGTTATGAGCTGGAGTTGAACCAGCGACCTTTGGACCACAGCGTTTCAGGAACTTCTTAAAGTCATGGGTTCTACCAACTGAGCTATGAATGTGCTTATAGACACAACCGTAGAAAACATAGTGGCTTCGGCGACACACTTTGCCAACAATACAGTTGGACCCACATGGTCAATGAAAAAGGTTGAACAGTGCATACAGCAATGAAATCTGGTGTTTGGAGCTGGAGTTGAACCAGCGACCTTTGGACCACAGCGTTTCAGGAACTTCTTACAGTCCTCTTCTCTACCAAGTGAGCTATGAAGGTGCTTATAGACTCAACCGCAGAAAAATTAGTGGCTTCGGCGACACACTTTGCCAACATAACTATTGAACCAACATGGTCAATGAAAAAGGTTTAACAGTGCATACAGCAATGAAATCTAGTGTTTGGAGGTGGAGTTGAACCAGCGACCTTTGGAACACAGCGTTTCAGGAACTTCTTACAGTCCTCTTCTCTACCAACTGAGCTATGAAGGTGCTTATAGACTCAACCGCAGAAAAATTAGTGGCATCGGCGACACACTTTGCCAACATAACTATTGAACCAACATGGTCAATGAAAAAGGTTTAACAGTGCATACAGCAATGAAATCTAGTGTTTGGAGGTGGAGTTGAACCAGCGACCTTTGGACCACAGCGTTTCAGGAACTGCTTAAAGTCATGGGCTGTACCAACTGAGCTATGAAGGTGCTTATAGACACAACCGCAGAAAACATAGTGGCTTCGGCGACACACTTTGCCAACATAACTATTGAACCAACATGGTCAATGAAAAAGGTTGAACAGTGCATACACGAATGAAATCTGGTGTTTGGAGCTGGAGTTGAACCAGCGACCTTTGGACCACAGCGTTTCAGGAACTTCTTACAGTCCTCTGCTCTACCAACTGAGCTATGAAGGTGCTTATAGAATCAAACGCAGAAAACATAGTGGCTTCGGCGACACACTTTGCCAACAATACAATTGGACACACATGGTCAATGAAAAAGGTTGAACAGAGCATAGAAATCTGGTGTTTGGAGGTGGAGTTGAACCAGCGACCTTTGGAACACAGCGTTTCAGGAACTTCTTAAAGTCATGGGTTCTACCAACTGAGCTATGAAGGTGCTTATAGACACAACCGCAGAAAACATAGTGGCTTCGGCGACACACTCTGCCAACACAACAATCAAGCCACCTGGTCAATGAAAAAGGTTGAACAGTGCATACAGCAATGAAATCTGGTGTTTGGAGCTGGAGTTGAACCAGCGACCTTTGGACCACAGCGTTTCAGGAACTTCTTACAGTCCTCTGCTCTACCAACTGAGCTATGAAGGTGCTTATAGATACAAACGCAGAAAACATAGTGGCTTCGGCGACACACTTTGCCAACAATACAATTGGACCCACATGGTCAATGAAAAAGGTTGAACAGAGCATACAGCAACTAAATCTGGTGTTTGGAGGTGGAGTTGAACCAGCGACCTTTGGAACACAGCGTTTCAGGAACTTCTTACAGTCCTCTGCTCTACCAACTGAGCTATGAAGGTGCTTATAGAATCAAACGCAGAAAACATAGTGGCTTCGGCGACACACTTTGCCAACAATACAGTTGGACCCACATGGTCAATGAAAAAGGTTGAACAGAGCATAGACCAATGAAATCTGGTGTTTGGAGGTGGAGTTGAACCAGCGACCTTTGGACCACAGCGTTTCAGGAACTTCTTACAGTCCTCTTCTCTACCAACTGAGCTATGAAGGTGCTTATAGACTCAACCGCAGAAAAATTAGTGGCTTCGGCGACACACTCTGACAACACAACAATCAAGCCACCTGGTCAATGAAAAAGGTTGAACAGTGCATCCAGCAATGAAATCTGGTGTTTGGAGCTGGAGTTGAACCAGCGACCTTTGGACCACAGCGTTTCAGGAACTTCTTACAGTCCTCTGCTCTACCAACTGAGCTATGAAGGTGCTTATAGACACAACCGCAGAAAACATAGTGGCTTCGGCGACAAACTTTGCCAACAATACAATTGGACCCACATGGTCAATGAAAAAGGTTGAACAGTGCATACAGCAATGAAATCTGGTGTTTGGAGGTGGAGTTGAACCAGCGACCTTTGGACCACAGCGTTTCAGGAACTTCTTAAAGTCATGGGTTCTACCAACTGAGCTATGAAGGTGCTTATAGACACAACCGCAGAAAACATAGTGGCTTCGGCGACACACTTTGCCAACAATACAGTTGGACCCACATGGTCAATGAAAAAGGTCGAACAGTGCATACAGCAATGAAATATGGTGTTTGGAGCTGGAGTTGAACCAGCGACCTTTGGACCACAGCGTTTCAGGAACTTCTTACAGTCCTCTGGTCTACCAACTGAGCTATGAAGGTGCTTATAGACTCAACCGCAGAAAACATAGTGGCTTCGGCGACACACTCTGACAACACAACAATCAAGCCACCTGGTCAATGAAAAAGGTTGAACAGTGCATACAGCAATGAAATCTGGTGTTTGGAGGTGGAGTTGGACCAGCGACCTTTGGACCACAGCGTTTCAGGAACTTCTTACAGTCCTCTGCTCTACCAACTGAGCTATGAAGGTGCTTATAGACACAAACGCAGAAAACATAGTGGCTTCGGCGACACACTTTGCCAACAATACAATTGGACCCACATGGTCAATGAAAAAGGTTGAACAGTGCATACAGCAATGAAATCTGGGGTTTGGAGGTGGAGTTGAACCAGCGACCTTTGGACCACAGCGTTTCAGGAACTTCTTACAGTCCTCTTCTCTACCAACTGAGCTATGAAGGTGCTTATAGACTCAACCGCAGAAAAATTAGTGGCTTCGGCGACACACTTTGCCAACATAACTATTGAACCAACATGGTAAATGAAAAAGGTTTAACAGTGCATACAGCAATGAAATCTAGTGTTTGGAGGTGCAGTTGAACCAGCGACCTTTGGACCACAGCGTTTCAGGAACTTCTTACAGTCCTCTTCTCTACCAACTGAGCTATGAAGGCTCTTAAAGACTCAACCGCAGAAAAATTAGTGGCATCGGCGACACACTTTGCCAACATAACTATTGAACCAACATGGTCAATGAAAAAGGTTGAACAGTGCATACAGCAATGAAATCTGGTGTTTGGAGGTGGAGTTGAACCAGCGACCTTTGGACCACAGCGTTTCAGGAACTTCTTAATGTCCTCTGCTCTACCAACTGAGCTATGAAGGTGCTTATAGACACAACCGCAGAAAACATAGTGGCTTCGGCGACACACTCTGCCAACACAACAATCAAGCCACCTGGTCAATGAAAAAGGTTGAACAGTGCATACAGCAATGAAATCTGGTGTTTGGAGGTGGAGTTGAACCAGCGACCTTTGGACCACAGCGTTTCAGGAACTTCTTACAGTCCTCTTCTCTACCAACTGAGCTATGAAGGTGCTTATGGACACAACCGCAGAAAACATAGTGGCTTCGGCGACACACTTTGCCAACACAACAATCAAGCCACCTGGTCAATGAAAAAGGTTGAACAGTGCATACAGCACTGAAATCTGGTGTTTGGAGGTGGAGTTGAACCAGCGACCTTTGGACCACAGCGTTTCAGTAACTTCTTAAAGTCATGGGCACTACCAACTGAGCTATGAAGGTGCTTATAGCCCCACCAGCAGAAAACATAGTGGCTTCGGCGACACACTTTGCCAACATAACTATTGAACCAACATGGTCAATGAAAAAGGTTGAACAGTGCATACACCAATGAAATCTGGTGTTTGGAGCTGGAGTTGAACCAGCGACCTTTGGACCACAGCGTTTCAGGAACTTCTTACAGTCCTCTGGTCTACCAACAGAGCTATGATGTTGCTTATAGACTCAAACGCAGAAAACATAGTGGCTTCGGCGACAAACTTTGCCAACAATATAATTGGACCCACATGGTCAATGAAAAAGGTTGAACAGTGCATACAGCAATGAAATCTGGTGTTTGGAGCAGGAGTTGAAACAGCGACCTTTGGACCGCAGCATTTCAGGAACTTCTTACAGTCCTCTGCTCTACCAACTGAGCTATGAAGGTGCTTATAGATACAAACGCAGAAAACATAGTGGCTTCGGCGACATACTTTGCCAACAATACAATTGGACCAACATGGTCAATGAAAAAGGTTGAACAGTTCGATGAAATCTGGTGTTTGGAGGTGGAGTTGAACCAGCGAGCTTTGGACCACAGCGTTTCAGAAACTTCTTACAGTGCTCTGCTCTACCAACTGAGCTATGAAAGTGCTTATAGACACAAACGCAGAAAACATAGTGGCTTCGGCGACACACTCTGCCAACATAACTATTGGACCCACATGGTCAATGAAAAAGGTTGAACAGTGCATACACCAATGAAATCTGGTGTTTGGAGGTGGAGTTGAACCAGCGACCTTTGTACCATAGCGTTTCAGGAACTTCTAACAGTCCTCTGCTCTACCAACTGAGCTATGAAGGTGCTTATAGAATCAAACGCAGAAAACATAGTGGCTTCGGCGACACACTTTGCCAACAATACAGTTGGACCCACATGGTCAATGAAAAAGGTTGAACAGAGCATAGACCAATGAAATCTGGTGTTTGGAGGTGGAGTTGAACCAGCGACCTTTGGAACACAGCGTTTCAGGAACTTCTTACAGTCCTCTTCTCTACCAACTGAGCTATGAAGGTGCTTATAGACTCAACCGCAGAAAAATTAGTGGCTTCGGCGACACACTCTGACAACACAACAATCAAGCCACCTGGTCAATGAAAAAGGTTGAACAGAGCATACAGCAATGAAATCTGGTGTTTGGAGCTGGAGTTGAACCAGCGACCTTTGGACTACAGCGTTTCAGGAACTTCTTACAGTCCTATGCTCTACCAACTGAGCTATGAAGGTGCTTATAGAATCAAACGCAGAAAACATAGTGGCTTCGGCGACACACTTTGCCAACAATACAGTTGGACCCACATGGTCAATGAAAAAGGTTGAACAGAGCATAGACCAATGAAATCATGTGTTTGGAGGTGGAGTTGAACCAGCGACCTTTGGAACACAGCGTTTCAGGAACTTCTTACAGTCCTCTTCTCTACCAACTGAGCTATGAAGGTGCTTATAGACTAAACCGCAGAAAAATTAGTGGCTTCGGCGACACACTCTGACAACACAACAATCAAGCCACCTGGTCAATGAAAAAGGTTGAACAGTGCATACAGCAATGAAATCTGGTGTTTGGAGGTGGAGTTGAACCAGCGACCTTTGGAACACAGCTTTTCAGGAACTTCTTACAGTCCTCTTCTCTACCAACTGAGATATGAAGGTGCTTATAGACTCAACCGCAGAAAAATTAGTGGCTTCGGCGACACACTTTGCCAACAATACAGTTGGACCCACATGGTCAATGAAAAAGGTTGAACAGAGCATACAGCAATGAAATATGGTGTTTGGAGGTGGAGTTGAACCAGCGACCTTTGGACCACAGTGTTTCAGTAAATTCTTAAAGTCATGGGCACTACCAACTGAGCTATGAAGGTGCTTATAGCCCCACCAGCAGAAAACATAGTGGCTTCGGCGACACACTTTGCCAACATAACTATTGAACCAACATGGTCAATGAAAAACGTTGAACAGTGCATAGACCAATGAAATCTGGTGTTTGGAGAAGGAGTTGAAACAGCGACCTTTGGACCACAGCGTTTGAGGAACTTCTTACTGTCCTCTGCTCTACCAACTGAGCTATGAAAGTGCTTATAGACACAAACGCAGAAAACATAGTGGCTTCGGCGACACACTTTGTCAACATAACTATTGAACCAACATGGTCAATGAAAAAGGTTGAACAGTGCATACACCAATGAAATCTGGTGTTTGGAGGTGGAGTTGAACCAGCGACCTTTGGACCACAGCGTTTCAGTAACTTCTTACAGTGCTCTGCTCTACCAACTGAGCTATGAAGGTGCTTATAGACACAAACGCAGAAAACATAGTGGCTTCGGCGACACACTTTGCCAACAATACAATTGGACCCACATGGTCAATGAAAAAGGTTGAACAGTGCATACAGCAATGAAATCTGGTGTTTGGTGGTGGAGTTGAACCAGCGACCTTTGGACCACAGCGTTTCAGGAACTTCTTAAAGTCATGGGCACTACCAACTGAGCTATGAAGGTGCTTATAACCCCACCAGCAGAAAACATAGTGGCTTCGGCGACACACTTTGCCAACATAACTATTGAACCAACATGGTCAATGAAAAAGGTTGAACAGTGCATACAGCAATGAAATCTGGTGTTTGGAGCTGGAGTTGAACCAGCGACCTTTGGACCACAGCGTTTCAGGAACTTCTTACAGTCCTCTGCTCTACCAACTGAGCTATGAAGGTGCTTATAGAATCAAACGCAGAAAACATAGTGGCTTCGGCGACACACTTTGCCAACAATACAGTTGGACCCACATGGTCAATGAAAAAGGTTGAACAGAGCATAGACCAATGAAATCTGGTGTTTGGAGGTGGAGTTGAACCAGCGACTTTTGGAACACAGCGTTTCAGGAACTTCTTACAGTGCTCTTCTCTACCAACTGAGCTATGAAGGTGCTTATAGACTCAACCGCAGAAAAATTAGTGGCTTCGGCGACACACTTTGCCAACAATACAGTTGGACCAACATGGTCAATGAAAAAGGTTGAACAGTGCATAGACCAATGAAATCTGGTGTTTGGAGCTGGAGTTGAACCAGCGACCTTTGGACCACAGCGTTTCAGGAACTTCTTAAAGTCATGGGCACTACCAACTGAGCTATGAAGGTGCTTATAGCCCCACCAGCAGAAAACATAGTGGCTTCGGCGACACACTTTGCCAACATAACTATTGAACCAACATGGTCAATGAAAAAGGTTGAACAGTGCATACAGCAATGAAATCTGGTGTTTGGAGCTGGAGTTGAACCAGCGACCTTTGGACCACAGCGTTTCAGGAACTTCTTACAGTCCTCTGCTCTACCAACTGAGCTATGAAGGTGCTTATAGAATCAAACGCAGAAAACATAGTGGCTTCGGCGACACACTTTGCCAACAATACAGTTGGACCCACATGGTCAATGAAAAAGGTTGAACAGAGCATAGACCAATGAAATCTGGTGTTTGGAGGTGGAGTTGAACCAGCGACCTTTGGAACACAGCGTTTCAGGAACTTCTTACAGTCCTCTGCTCTACCAACTGAGCTATGAAGGTGCTTATAGAATCAAACGCAGAAAACATAGTGGCTTCGGCGACACACTTTGCCAACAATACAGTTGGACCCACATGGTCAATGAAAAAGGTTGAACAGAGCATAGACCAATGAAATCTGGTGTTTGGAGGTGGAGTTGAACCAGCGACCTTTGGAACACAGCGTTTCAGGAACTTCTTACAGTCCTCTTCTCTACCAACTGAGCTATGAAGGTGCTTATAGAATCAAACGCAGAAAACATAGTGGCTTCGGCGACACACTTTGCCAACAATACAGTTGGACCCACATGGTCAATGAAAAAGGTTGAACAGAGCATAGACCAATGAAATCTGGTGTTTGGAGGTGGAGTTGAACCAGCGACCTTTGGAACACAGCGTTTCAGGAACTTCTTACAGTCCTCTTCTCTACCAACTGAGCTATGAAGGTGCTTATAGACTCAACCGCAGAAAAATTAGTGGCTTCGGCGACACACTTTGCCAACAATACAGTTGGAACCACATGGTCAATGAAAAAGGTTGAACAGAGCATAGACCAATGAAATCTGGTGTTTGGAGCTGGAGTTGAACCAGCGACCTTTGGAACACAGCGTTTCAGTAACTTGTTAAAGTCATGGGCACTACCAACTGAGCTATGAAGGTGCTTATAGCCCCACCAGCAGAAAACATAGTGGCTTCGGCGACACACTTTGCCAACATATCTATTGAACCAACATGGTCAATGAAAAAGGTTGAACAGTGCATACAGCAATGAAATCTGGTGTTTGGAGCTGGAGTTGAACCAGCGACCTTTGGACCACAGCGTTTCAGGAACTTCTTACAGTCCTCTGCTCTACCAACTGAGCTATGAAGGTGCTTATAGAATCAAACGCAGAAAACATAGTGGCTTCGGCGACACACTTTGCCAACAATACAGTTGGACCCACATGGTCAATGAAAAAGGTTGAACAGAGCATAGACCAATGAAATCTGGTGTTTGGAGCTGGAGTTGAACCAGCGACCTTTGGAACACAGCGTTTCAGGAACTTCTTACAGTCCTCTTCACTACCAACTGAGCTATGAAGGTGCTTATAGACTCAACCGCAGAAAAATTAGTGGCTTCGGCGACACACTCTGACAACACAACAATCAAGCCACCTGGTCAATGAAAAAGGTTGAACAGTGCATACAGCAATGAAATCTGGTGTTTGGAGCTGGAGTTGAACCAGCGACCTTTGGACCACAGCGTTTCAGGAACTTCTTACAGTCCTCTGCTCTACCAACTGAGCTATGAAGGTGCTTATAGAATCAAACGCAGAAAACATAGTGGCTTCGGCGACACACTTTGCCAACAATACAGTTGGACCCACATGGTCAATGAAAAAGGTTGAACAGAGCATAGACCAATGAAATCTGGTGTTTGGAGGTGGAGTTGAACGAGCGACCTTTGGAACACAGCGTTTCAGGAACTTCTTACAGTCCTCTTCTCTACCAACTGAGCTATGAAGGTGCTTATAGACTCAACCGCAGAAAAATTAGTGGCTTCGGCGACACACTTTGCCAACAATACAGTTGGACCCACATGGTCAATGAAAAAGGTTGAACAGAGCATACAGCAATGAAATCTGGTGTTTGGAGGTGGAGTTGAACCAGCGACCTTTGGACCACAGTGTTTCAGTAACTTCTTAAAGTCATGGGCACTACCAACTGAGCTATGAAGGTGCTTATAGCCCCACCAGCAGAAAACATAGTGGCTTCGGCGACACACTTTGCCAACAATACAGTTGGACCCACATGGTCAATGAAAAAGGTTGAACAGAGCATAGACCAATGAAATCTGGTGTTTGGAGCTGGAGTTGAACCAGCGACCTTTGGACCACAGCGTTTTAGGAACTTCTTACAGTCCTCTGATCTACCAACTGAGCTATGAAGGTGCTTATAGAATCAAACGCAGAAAACATAGTGGCTTCGGCGACACACTTTGCCAACAATACAGTTGGACCCACATGGTCAATGAAAAAGGTTGAACAGAGCATAGACCAATAAAAACTGGTGTTTGGAGGTGGAGTTGAACCAGCGACCTTTGGAACACAGCGTTTAAGGAACTTCTTACAGTCCTCTTCTCTACCAACTGAGCTATGAAGGTGCTTATAGACTCAACCGCAGAAAAATTAGTGGCTTCGGCGACACACTTTGCCAACATAACTATTGATCCAACATGGTCAATGAAAAAGGTTGAACAGTGCATACAGCGATGAAATCTGGTGTTTGGAGCTGGAGTTGAACCAGCGACCTTTGGACCACAGCGTTTCAGGAACTTCTTAAAGTCATGGGCACTACCAACTGAGCTATGAAGGTGCTTATAGCCCCACCAGCAGAAAACATAGTGGCTTCGGCGACACACTTTGCCAACATAACTATTGAACCAACATGGTCAATGAAAAAGGTTGAACAGTGCATACAGCAATGAAATCTGGTGTTTGGAGCTGGAGTTGAACCAGCGACCTTTGGACCACAGCTTTTCAGGAACTTCTTACAGTCCTCTGCTCTACCAACTGAGCTATGAAGGTGCTTATAGAATCAAACGCAGAAAACATAGTGGCTTCGGCGACACACTTTGCCAACAATATAGTTGGACCCACATGGTCAATGAAAAAGGTTGAACAGAGCATAGACCAATGAAATCTGGTGTTTGGAGGTGGAGTTGAATGAGCGACCTTTGGAACACAGCGTTTCAGGAACTTCTTACAGTCCTATTCTCTACCAACTGAGCTATGAAGGTGCTTATAGACTCAACCGCAGAAAAATTAGTGGCTTCGGCGACACACTTTGCCAACATAACTATTGAACCAACATGGTCAATGAAAAAGGTTAAACAGTGCATACAGCGATGAAATCTGGTGTTTGGAGCTGGAGTTGAACCAGCGACCTTTGGACCACAGCGTTTCAGGAACTTCTTACAGTCCTCTGCTCTACCAACTGAGCTATGAAGGTGCTTATAGAATCAAACGCAGAAAACATAGTGGCTTCGGCGACACACTTTGCCAACAATACAGTTGGACCCACATGGTCAATGAAAAAGGTTGAACAGAGCATAGACCAATGAAATCTGGTGTTTGGAGGTGGAGTTGAACCAGCGACCTTTGGAACACAGCGTTTCAGAAACTTCTTACAGTCCTCTTCTCGACCAACTGAGCTATGAAGGTGCTTATAGATTCAACCGCAGAAAAATTAGTGGCTTCGGCGACACACTCTGACAACACAACAATCAAGCCACCTGGTCAATGAAAAAGGTTGAACAGTGCATACAGCAATGAAATCTGGTGTTTGGAGCTGGAGTTGAACCAGCGACCTTTGGAAAAAAGCGTTTCAGGAACTTCTTACAGTCCTCTGCTCTACCAACTGAGCTATGAAGGTGCTTATAGAATCAAACGCAGAAAACATAGTGGCTTCGGCGACACACTTTGCCAACAATACAGTTGGAACCACATGGTCAATGAAAAAGGTTGAACAGAGCATAGACCAATGAAATCTGGTGTTTGGAGCTGGAGTTGAACCAGCGACCTTTGGAACACAGCGTTTCAGTAACTTGTTAAAGTCATGGGCACTACCAACTGAGCTATGAAGGTGCTTATAGCCCCACCAGCAGAAAACATAGTGGCTTCGGCGACACACTTTGCCAACATATCTATTGAACCAACATGGTCAATGAAAAAGGTTGAACAGTGCATACAGCAATGAAATCTGGTGTTTGGAGCTGGAGTTGAACCAGCGACCTTTGGACCACAGCGTTTCAGGAACTTCTTACAGTCCTCTGCTCTACCAACTGAGCTATGAAGGTGCTTATAGAATCAAACGCAGAAAACATAGTGGCTTCGGCGACACACTTTGCCAACAATACAGTTGGACCCACATGGTCAATGAAAAAGGTTGAACAGAGCATAGACCAATGAAATCTGGTGTTTGGAGCTGGAGTTGAACCAGCGACCTTTGGAACACAGCGTTTAAGGAACTTCTTACAGTCCTCTTCTCTACCAACTGAGCTATGAAGGTGCTTATAGACTCAACCGCAGAAAAATTAGTGGCTTCGGCGACACACTTTGCCAACATAACTATTGAACCAACATGGTCAATGAAAAAGGTTGAACAGTGCATACAGCGATGAAATCTGGTGTTTGGAGCTGGAGTTGAACCAGCGACCTTTGGACCACAGCGTTTCAGGAACTTCTTAAAGTCATGGGCACTACCAACTGAGCTATGAAGGTGCTTATAGCCCCACCAGCAGAAAACATAGTGGCTTCGGCGACACACTTTGCCAACATAACTATTGAACCAACATGGTCAATGAAAAAGGTTGAACAGTGCATACAGCAATGAAATCTGGTGTTTGGAGCTGGAGTTGAACCAGCGACCTTTGGACCACAGCGTTTCAGGAACTTCTTACAGTCCTCTGCTCTACCAACTGAGCTATGAAGGTGCTTATAGAATCAAACGCAGAAAACATAGTGGCTTCGGCGACACACTTTGCCAACAATATAGTTGGACCCACATGGTCAATGAAAAAGGTTGAACAGAGCATAGACCAATGAAATCTGGTGTTTGGAGGTGGAGTTGAATGAGCGACCTTTGGAACACAGCGTTTCAGGAACTTCTTACAGTCATATTCTTTACCAACTGAGCTATGAAGGTGCTTATAGACTCAACCGCAGAAAAATTAGTGGCTTCGGCGACACACTTTGCCAACATAACTATTGAACCAACATGGTCAATGAAAAAGGTTAAACAGTGCATACAGCGATGAAATCTGGTGTTTGGAGGTGGAGTTGAACCAGCGACCTTTGGACCACAGCGTTTCAGGAACTTCTTACAGTCCTCTGCTCTACCAACTGAGCTATGAAGGTGCTTATAGAATCAAACGCAGAAAACATAGTGGCTTCGGCGACACACTTTGCCAACAATACAGTTGGACCCACATGGTCAATGAAAAAGGTTGAACAGAGCATAGACCAATGAAATCTGGTGTTTGGAGGTGGAGTTGAACCAGCGACCTTTGGAACACAGCGTTTCAGAAACTTCTTACAGTCCTCTTCTCGACCAACTGAGCTATGAAGGTGCTTATAGACTCAACCGCAGAAAAATTAGTGGCTTCGGCGACACACTCTGACAACACAACAATCAAGCCACCTGGTCAATGAAAAAGGTTGAACAGTGCATACAGCAATGAAATCTGGTGTTTGGAGCTGGAGTTGAACCAGCGACCTTTGGAAAACAGCGTTTCAGGAACTTCTTACAGTCCTCTGCTCTACCAACTGAGCTATGAAGGTGCTTATAGAATCAAACGCAGAAAACATAGTGGCTTCGGCGACACACTTTGCCAACAATACAGTTGGACCCACATGGTCAATGAAAAAGGTTGAACAGAGCATAGACCAATGAAATCTGGTGTTTGGAGGTGGAGTTGAATGAGCGACCTTTGGAACACAGCGTTTCAGGAACTTCTTACAGTCCTCTTCTCTAC